GTCCCAGTTTTGGGGCCGACATGGAGGTGATGCTTATACTTGAGTTTTTTACATTACATCACTGAGGTGTACGTGCGGGTGGGGATGACTACAGACAATCTTATCGCTTAAGTTAATGCCGCAAAGTCCCTTGATTTACACCTGCATAGGTGGGGATAGTGGCTCCTTTTGTTTCGGGCTTAAGCCATCAGAAGATTGGGACCACGAGACCTCCGCCCCATTTCACGCTCCTCCGGGCACCCAGATAACACCAGATATCGATCTGGTGATGGTCGCCACACTCGCCCAGTGCTTAGCACCTCACCAGTGCTGAGTTTCGGGCTTCCAGGCATGCAGCTGCACGGTGTATTTGGTGACTCAGACTTTGTCATTAACTGCGTTCTCTTTACACATAGCAATGGATTTTCCACAAAATATATGGAAATCTAGTCTCTTTGAGACTGCTGAATTCAAACCTACTGCCCAGTTTCAACCAAGAGTTTCTCTGAGCACATGGGATGTATGGATGGACATAGAAACACACCTCAGTTACCCAAGTCTCCTTTTTTTAGGAGATACACTTAGGCAGTGTATTTTAAAAGGTTACTGTGGATACTTGATAGATCTTCCGCCCCAAAAAATGTATTTTATGTATTGGATTCACATCAGTTGCTTTCCTGAGGGTTTTATACCTTTTAATCTTTTTATTTCATATCTTTTAACTTTGTGTTGTCTTCTTAGCATTAGCCTCTGCTGTGTGAGAATATTTACTGCAAACTGCTGTCTCCTTATGAAGTAACACCTCGTATGTCTGGGAGTAGCAGGGCTGTACTAACACAGAAATATAGCCCTAATTGTCACACTTGTAAAGAAGCAAATAAATACCCCTTTTGTCTGGTGTTGGTTGAGAATTACATCTTTTACCAACAATGATGTTCACATGATATTGTACTGACTCCCTCACTGAGATTCTCATTGCATCTGTCTTCCGCTAAAAAGCACAGTGAAAGTTGCTTCATGCTCTTGCTTCCTTCTGCTTTGGCTTGCTAGAGGCTGTAAGCCTTCACACGTTCATCTTTTCTCTTCTCTGTAGTAGATCGTGAATTCTCTTTATGCACTTTCATATTTTTATTATCCTTCTTCAGATATTTGGAAATCTGGAAGAATTACAATAAGAGGTGTTATTTCTTTGGAAGGTACTAACAGTGTCTTGTTTGTTCTGGAGACAGTATTGTTGGTTATTGAAACGGGTAGCTCTGCCAGCGCTGGATGTCTGAGATAGTTTTCCTCTTACTTTCCCTTAAGGCTTTGCTTCTGTTTCTTCTGGTTCTTGGTTTTTTTTTTTTTTTTTTTTTTTTTTTTTTTTTTTTTTTTTTTTTTTTTTTTTTTTTTTTTTTTTTTTTTTTTTTTTTTTTTTTTTTTTTTTTTGTTTTTTTTTTTTTTTTTTTTTTTTTTTTTTTTTTTTTTTTTTTTTGTTTTGTTTTGTTTTGTTTTATTTTGTTTTGTTTTTTTGTTTTGTTTTGTTGTTGATTGGTTCTTTGTTTTTTTTTTTTGTAAAAAGCTTGAGAAATCAGATGAAGTATTCTCTAGCTCCTACTCTGTGTCCAAGCAGAGATGCCATCACGTTATGTCTAAGGCTTTGCAACCTCATCCAAAAGTTTAGAGATGAGAGTGTTGAGGTGAAACAAGGAAACTTTTGAAATGATCTGTGTGTGGCATTTCTATTTAAAACATTGCCAGTGATTCTTTTAAACGGAAAGAAGGGGGGAGAAAAAGGGGAGGGGAAGAAGTAATTGAATTGCATTTTAGTATACTGCAAAGATCTTTGTCATTTTTTGGTATCCCATCTACTACAATATCAACCTGTGTTAACTTCCAGATTTCAGTTGGCTGTCTTAAAGTAAGTTGTTAAGATCTACAGGAAGTAATATTCTTATTTTGGATGGTAACAGGAGTTGCCAACTGTTTTCTTCCCCCATAAGTAACAAATCACTCGAATTCCAGATACAGTTATTATTGAATAGTGTGATGGCCATTGTAGTCACTCTAGAAATGCTCCTAAGTCCATCCCTGTTCCTCGTATAATATAAAGTATTGCCTATGAAGTAAAGTGAAACATAAATAGGCAAATAAATATAATTATAAATATAATTGTTTTTTTTTAAATATAAAAAAATAACTTCAACAAAGAAAAGATGCATGGGATCTAGAGCTGGTGTCTCAAAGTGAGGCTGATACATCTGAGCCCCCACATGACTAGAGATACTGAACACTTCTCCTGCCATCTCTCTCCCCTCTGTCCGATGCTGCTAGCAATGTGACGGAGGTCTTTGGTAATGCGCAGGACCTGGGGCACTGTGTGTTTTGTGTGTCTTGGCATGACCTGGAGTTACTCTAAAACAAATATTAAGCTTAAAGGCCACAGAGCGTATCAACTCCTTAGCATTTACTTTGGTTGAAAAGGAACTCGTTGATAAATCTGATTTTTTGACGCAGTAAGTAGCTGACATAAGCAAGAAGATGCTTTCCATCTGTTCTAAACCATTCTGTTGTCATTTTGTTTTTTTCTTGGAATTGAGATTAAATAATTTTGGTTGCAGGTAGCTGTTCTTGCTTTGTAGTTGGGAACTGTTTGTATTTGGAGTTATGTGTAGGGGGAAAAAAAACCCAACCCTCACAACATTTTTCTCATGAAAACACAGAGTGAAGAAAGTTACAATTACGTAATTCCTGTATGCTGTGCCCAACTTTTTGTATCTTCCTTTAGCCTTTAAAGTACCCCTGATACTGACCTTACTTGTCCTGTCTTGAAGAGAATGATGGCCCCGGCATACTAAGACACCAGCTTATTTCAGAGCCTGACAGAAATGCTGCCTTACTGAATTACCTTCGGTAGCGTCTTCAGTACTCTGGTTTTCTTCAGAAACCTACAGTTATAAATGGAGGGAGAAGGGATGTGGGCAAAAGTCTGTCTTTGAGCTGAGGAGATGTCACGGTTTTCAATGTGAAGGAAGAAATAATCTTGGACTATTCCTCTTCACCCAGCCTACAGACACTGCATAGACCTGTTATTCGAAATATCAATGTAGATCGAACATATTAAGTTCTTAATTTTAATTGTACTAGAATTGTTACGATGCAAGGGTTTTCTTGATCTCTCTTTGGGGTATGAGGTTTTTGGTTTTGTGTTTGATTTTGGTTTTTACATCTGGCACAGCATTTTTCATCATTCTAAGTGCAGTTTTGTTTACATTTCTTATTTTAGTAGTGGTGTTTGCTTAGTTTTGCATTGTGATTGTATTTTACCAATTTTCATTTATGATGGACTGAATAGAATAAAAGCATACATGAATACTCTAAAATGTGTCACCACTAATTGTTAAACCCAAACTAAGGGCCTTTTTTATCTTTATCCTTTTTTTGAGAATAAAGACCAGTTTCTTCATGATGAAGTTTCATCTTCAGTGTCACAACTTGCAACAAAGGTAAATATCTGTTCTTTGGAAGTGTAAACTTTATATATATATTTCAGTTAATGTATGTTAGGAAGTCACTTGTTTTTCTTGTACAGCCTCAATGAGGAGGATATTTATGTGCTTCACTGTTGATATTTTATGATTACTTATGGTCCTTGGTCATGGGATTCTCACTGAAGCAGTATTAGCAGTGCAGTATTAGTTAAAAAGCTGCCTTCTTTCCTTTCATTAAGAGAGAAGGTAAGGTATGTTGTTTTTTTTTTATTCCACATGATAGGTATTGAAACACAAAATGAAAAAAAGAAGTCACAGTAAAAACTAAAGTGAAGTCTAAGGAAGCACTAAATTCTTGCAGTAACTGGTGATGAAAACATGAATAGTGGAAAGGATTTGGGTTATTTATTCCTTTCTAGGTAGCTTAGTTGGCTCTCTGACTACAAGAGGTTAAGGACTTTACCTCATATCTCCGAGAATAAAAGCAGACATATAAGTTAATTTTTTTTACCTTGATATGTGTCCAAGAATCTTTTTTAAAGTTCTTAAAATACATTGGTAGAAGATGAAAGAATTGGAAGTTGTTACGATATGCTAGAGCTTGTTTTGAAATTCCATAGGTATAAAGAAAAGCATTTAAAAATAGGTTCAGTAGTGTAATAGGATACTTTATATTAATATGTATAAACTGAACATGTGTCTCTGTTACTTTCTTGTTCTACTTCAGATGCAGCATAATTTTTGCTGAAAACAGTAAAATTATACTATGTTCTTCTACTTTTAAAAAGAAATTTTTTTAAAAGAAAACATAAATTACTCATTTTATCCCAGATTATGAATGTTTAGGAAAAGAATCTTAAAATTAGTCTGTTTTATATTGAAACTTTTTTTCCATTTGCTCTAGTCATGTAAGAAGACTTGCTAAGTGTGTGTTTTGACTTTTAAAAAAGTCACCAGGCAAACCACTGAGCTGCAATATTTTTGTGTTTTAAAGTAAACCCTTCTTGTCTTAAAAATGTAATCACAAAAAAGCACATTAGCATTCTTCTTTTTTTTTTTAATTTTCTGTTTCTAAAAGCACTTCTGTTATTTTATTTAGTTGTTCTGTCATGTTAGAAGCTGTCAATATAGTGATATTCCAGAAGTTCCAAAAACTTTAATATGTTAATAAAAGGATGACTAATTATGTGTGGCCTTTTCAGTACGCACATATCATGAATAAAACGGTCTCCATGTTGAAGCTGTATGGTGAAGAACTACAAAGGTCTTGAAGAAAAGGGCAGTGGATGAAGGGTGTGTCTGCCCTTTAGGGAGACAGCCTTCCTGATCTCTTAAAGCCTGAGTTTTGAGGCTGTCCTGATGCCCATTGTCAGAGGAGAGCCTTTGGCCTAGGTTTGGAGGTGCAGAAGGGGGAGGTAGTCCTACTGACTGGGGGTGGAGGTGGAAAGTGGTCTTAGTTTCTGCTCGGGCAGGAAGCTGCCCACTTAGCAGTGAGGACAGGTTAACTCCGGCGCTGAGTTTTTTTAGTTCCCTCTTCAAAGCTCCCCTGAGAGGCAGGTGGGTATAGCTGGTTCAAAAGCCTTGTCATGTTTCAAAGTAAGGGACTCTGAACCCTCTAGTGGTGCTCTGCAAAATGCAGAAATCTGCAGCCTGTGTTCCTGCTGCGCCTGGTCATTCAGCTGTGCAAAGCTAATCTTGGGAGACTCATTTACGTGCTGAGCTTCTGAGTTAAAAGTACAGGGAAGACTTAATCTACACTTGTTATTAGGCCAGTTTATGAAAAGAGACAAAGAGTTTGGAGAAACAAAGTAAAACATTTTAACAACAAAATTGGAGATGTTTGCCCAAGTGGCCCAAATCCATTGTCCTGGTAGGGCAGATCTTTGAGTTTCAGCTCAGGTGTGCCACAGAATAAATTAACTGTTTGTTGGTCTGCACACCAGCAGTTAGTTGAGTTGAAAAATTTCCACAGTCTCCAAATGTTTTGGCATCTGGAAGACAAATTTGGAGGGGGGCGGAGGGGTGTTTCCCTATATATTAAGTTCTTGCATGTTATGAGTAAGTTTTCTGCGGGGGGGCACAACGCTTCTTTAGTTAAAGCTGATTGGCATTTTTTCATTATAAACCACTTAGTTGTAAGTTTATTGAACTGTAGGGTACTTAAATGGAAAATTCCATCTCTAGCTTTTTATTTTAGGCTATTTTTTTCAGAAGGAGGGAAGCTGCGGAACAAACAATTGTTTCTTCTTGGTCATGGTCAAGAGGAAAATCCGTTCTTTTTGTTTACATTTATAAAAAATTTCTGCTAGTTTTTTGTGGAGCGCCTCTACTTTACTGGAGGGTTTTGATTCACCAGTTGTCAATTCTCTGTGAAAATACTTGTGAAGGTCTGCTAAAACTTGGCCAAAATACAAATTTCTGGAAATATCATTTCATACATGCTGAGCACTGACGTTTTAGGGATTAGCTGCTTAACTACACAATGGTATTGAACATGCTGATTCTCACTGCAGGTATACAGCAAGAATCCCATTTAATTGCTCTTTTTGATGGCTAAGAATCTGTCATATGGCTTGTTCTAGTCTGCAAGAGTGACTTCTGTGCTCCAGAGCCCTGCTGGCCAGGCAGTTTGGAAGTAGGGTGGCCGGTCAAGCCACAGAACTCCGATATCCTGAAACCTTCTCAAGGGCTGTAGCTACAAGGCATGTATTTAATGTATTTTAAAATTAATCATAAAATTTTACAGCTTAAACTTAGAGAAGTTCAATTGTACTTTATGTTAATGAGGAAGGACAAGTCCATTAGTACCAATCTGGATTTAGTGCCAGATCCAGTGCTCTTACTCCTGCCAGTGAAAATGCCAGGCAAAAAAAAAAGGCCAGAAGTGTTAGCAGTCAGCCAGTTAGGAACTGCACAGGGAAGGCAAATCATAAATGGTGGAAGTTACAGAAAGAATAATGTAAGCTGTGTTAAGGAATGAAAGAGTACTACTGAAAGAGTGGTGAGGCATTGGAACAGACTGCCCAGGAGGTGGTGGAGGCACCATCCCTGGAGGTGTTCAAAAATCGTGTAGATGTGGTGCATGGGGACATGGGTTAATGGTCATGGTAGTGTTGGGTGATGGTTGGACTTGATGAAAAAAGCAGCACCATCTTAGAGTCCCAAGTAATATTGGGACATATTTGAATCTCTTCTAACATAGTGTCCTAAATCATTGCTATTATTCTTTGACCTCACTGTATTCTGTGCTTTTTTTTTTCTGCCCATGATAAGGCGTTCATGTGTATTAGTGACATCCATCTGGTGGATGGATTTGTTTTTAGTTAAAGTTTCATGTAGTCTTCCTCTTTACTATATATTCATTAATATCTATTTAATGAAAATCATGCTTTTAGGACTGATCTACATCTTTAGTTTATACCTAGCTGCTAGCATTCCTGGTTTTCATGAACCTTCTGGCCCTCTAGTAGAGCTCTAATGGTGAACTATGTACCTTCAACAGTAAAAATTACTGAGAAGGCTTCTCAGGGAAGCTGAGAGTCGTGCAACTCCTCAGAATTTGTTAATGTGGTAAAAGTAGTTTTTGGTAGCAGTATCTCTCAGTCTTGGAGGAGACTTCCAATTTAAGAGGATCTGTCCCTTTCTTAGGCTATGAAGTTAACTGTCAGTAGACATTTTTTCTTTGTATGTCAACATACAGTTTGTGTTCAGTTGATTCACTTGAGTAAATACAGGTAAGAAAGCAGAAAGCTCTCACTATGAAAGCTGAGTTTAGAAAGTGAGGCTTTGGGGGTGAGTCTGGGGAAGCCACGCTAAGCTGGGTATGTGGAAGAAAGTGGATGGAGGACTGCAACTTTGGGATGGTGCTTGAGCTGACACCGTAGTTGCTGCTACAAAAAAGGTGCTGTTGCCTCTGACTTCCACGTTCTTTGGTGGCTGATTCTAACATCTGTTAATGAGCTGATCCTTATCACTGACCCAAAAGAATGCAGAAAATGAATGAGTTAGAGTCCTGCTGGCTTAGTGAGTAGAACTGGTTTTCCACAGCATCAGACAGGTACAGCGCCATAGCGTGAGGCAGGCAATGGACTGAGCTGACCCTTCTCAGCAGCAGAGTCTGATAAACCAGATCTGCCACCTTGTGGGACTTCTCTCTGGGAGTCGGTCTGACAGATGGGCACTGACACTGCAGCATGGGCAAAGCAGAGGGGAGGAACAGCAGACAGTGTGCCTCAGGATCCAGACTGCATCCTTTACAGGGTGTTCCAGGAGTGACTACTCACACTCGCAGTTTCAGAAGCTATGCTAATTAAATGGCAGCTTTCTCGTGGTGGAAAAAGAGTACTTCATAACCTGTAATTTCCTCTACTGAAAGGGAAGACTGTCTTGAGCTTTTTTAGATGCCTGCTGGGAGAGATGATGATAGTGTTTTTTCACTGGTCTGTCAGTTGATGGATTAATATGTATGTGCAATTTAACTTCTATTGACCCTTTTAAGTGATTGCACAGGGTATTGTGCGCTACGGATTTTCACAATCTAAAATGGAATATTTGGGAGAAACTTCATTAATGGCTGTTCTGATAGGCTTACTGGGTGCTCTCATAGCCAAACTGGTATGAGACCAGTCTGTAATCCCACTTCACAGGATACTGAAATGGCACCTTGAGAAGTTTCTGCTTTGTTTCTCATTGTGTTTTTGAAAACTAATCCAACCTGGTCCTGTAAAGGTTTTTGAATTTCAAATATCTGATGTTACAAACCTAGTCTCTTCTTAGTAGTGGTCACTTTTCTTAGCAGTTCCTTATGGGCATTTCAATTCATGTATTTATTTATTTTTAACCTTGAGTTTTGCCTGTACACTTAGGTCTATTCTAGTGGCATTAATCAGCTTTCATTTTGAAAGATCCCCTCCTCCAAGCTCAAGAGCAGCCCATCCCATCACGCAGAGCAGGAAGGAAAGGTTGCAGGAGGCTAGTCTGGATGAACAAGATGTTCCTGAAAAACCTCAGACATA